GGGGGGGGGGCGCTGTCACGTGATCTGCTTAAGTATGCATGTCTTGCATTAAAAAAACAAAACATTTGAGGTTTGGGAAAGTAGGATGACCCTCTCCTTTGAAAGACCACTCTCTGTTGTTTTGCGTGTGTGGTTTTCTAAAGTGCTTATGCAGCACCTGGACGAGTAGATCGGCTCCTACCTGCCCAAAGACTGTAATGCAAGCCTATCGGTAAAATGAGATTATTATTATTATTTTTTAGAGAGGTGTCATTCAACTCCTATCATCCTTAGCCAGAATGCAGAATATTGGTATGTATCTTGTGGGGAGACGGGGCTGGCAATTGCAAAGGCCTCCCAAGAGAGAGTTTAGATTTGTCAGAGATTTAGAATAGAATAGAATAGAATAGAATAGAATAGAATAGAATAGAATAGAATAACAGAGTTGGAAGGGACCTTGGAGGTCTTCTAGTCCAACCCCCTGCTTAGGCAGGAAACCCTACACCATTTCAGGCAAATGGTTAGCCAACATCTTATTTACAAAATTCTTCACTGATTCATTAATGTTTGCCTGGGGAGCTGTTACACAGGTAACACCAGATAGTAGCCTAGTTCAAGCGATAGACAGACAGGTGGATGGACGGATAGATGGCAGGTAGGTAGGTAGGTAGATCAGTCGATTGACAGATAGATAATAGATCAATAGATGATAGATAGGTAAATACATAGACACGTAGATACGTAAATAAAGAGGAATGGATGGATGGAGATAGATAATAGATAATAGATCAATAAATAAATGATAGATACATAGAAATGGATAGATATAGATTGATAAGATAGATAGAAATGGGTAGATAATAGATTGATAGATGATAGATAGGTAGATACATAGATAGACACATAGCTACATACATAAATACAGAGCGATGGATGGATATAGATAATAGATTGATAGATAAATGACAGATACATAGATGCATATAAATGGGTGGGTGGGTAGGTAGGTAGGTAGGTAGGTAGATGATAGATAGATAGATAGATAGATAGATAGATAGATAGATAGATAGATAGATAGGACAATTTAGATAATTAAGATAGGTAGACAACAGATAAAACAATATTGTTAACAAAGATGATTGATAATAGATCAGTAAGAATCTAGAACTAGATGAATGGAGGAATAAGACAGACAGATATAGTCCATGACATACAACCACTGATTTAGTGACATTCCATTTAGTGGCCGCTGCATCCCCACGGTCGCAGGATCAAAATTTGGACGCTTGGCAACCAAGACATGCAGCATTTATGACGGTTTGCAGTGTCCTGGGGTCAGGAGCTTTTGTGACCTAACGAGCAGAGTCAGTGGGGAAGCCAGATTCACTTAACAACTGTGTAAAAAAAAAAAAAAGAATTTATCTTTTGGAGAAAAATCTGTCCAGACTTTGGAGTTGTGGATGGATGGATTGTTCTTCTAATGGCCAAATCCTCTTCTCATTGATGGTTGGTGTCTCCCAGTGTCATCCTCAAACACAATGGAGTTTTGTTCTGTCTTTAGTAGCCGTGAGGAATAGAATGTGTGTGTGTGTGTGTAAATGTACAACAGATCAGCAAATTCGCTTGCAGGCCTTACAGCCTGAAACCTCCGTGTTGACCATTACAGGTAGTCCTTGACTTACGACCACAATTGAGCCTAAAATTTCTGTGAAGGGAGGAAGTTTGTTGAGTGAATTTTGGCCCATTTTACGACCTGCCTTGACCTCATTGTGGTTATAAGAAACACTGCCGCTGTTAAGTCAGCCCACACGGTCGTTAAGTGAATCTGGCTTCCCGTTGACTTTGCTTGGCAGACGGACACATGAGACCCCAGGAGACGCCATGGCCGTCGTAAATATGAACCGGTTGCAAAGTGGCTTGGATTTTGATCACGTGACCATGGGGATGCTACAAAGGTCGTAAGTGAAAAACCGGTTGTGAGTCACTGTTTTTTATGGCCGCTGTTACTACGAACGGTCACTAAATGAACCATTGTAAGTCGAGGACTACCTGTAGTCGACCTTGGGACCGATGGCTAGTGGTCAAATCAGAGTTTTAGAGGCACTGGAAAAAAACCAAAGACTTTTTATCCAGATGTGGAATGCTGTGTGGTGTACTTTCCCTCACAAATGAAGCTGCTTCCGCTGTCTTTATTCCACCTCATTCCTGGGCAACATGGAGTAGGGGTCTCCAACCTTGGCCACTTTAAGACTTGTGGACTTCAACTCCCAGAATTCCTCAGCCAGCAAAGCTAGCTGAGGAATTCTGGGAATTGAAATCCACAAGTCTTAAAGTGGCCAAGGTTGGAGACCCCTGCCATGGAGGACCTGTCCGCCATTATGATACGTAATGGCCTTCCTCGGGCTTCTGGAAGCTTAGGACTTCAATTCCCATCATCCTTGACCAGGTCGGCTGGATTTAGAATCCAGAACCTCCCGAACAACAAAAAAAGCAGACCGAATAACCACAGTGAACAGAAAATCCTTCATAGTCTCACATTCTGTTGAATTGACGTGAAAGTAGAAAGATAAATCATTGGGTTGGTCTAAAATAGTGGAACACAAACTCAGCAATCTTAAAACGTGTGGACTTCAGTTCCCAGAATTCCCCATTCAGCTTGACTGGATTTCAGTTCCCGGAATTCTTCAGCCTCCATCATTCAATGGACTTCAGTTCCCAGAATTCCCTATTCAGCACGACTGGACTTCAGATCCCAGAATTCTTCAGCCTCCATCATTCAATGGACTTCAGTTCCCAGAATTCCCCATTCAGCATGACTGGACTTCAGATCCCAGAATTCTTCAGCCTCCATGACTGGACTTCAATTCCCAGAATTCCTCTTTCAAGATGCCTGGACTTCAGTTCCCAGAATTCCCCATTCAAGATGCCTGGACTTCAATTCCCAGAATTCTCTAGTGGACATGAGTGAACTCTGGGAGTTGAAATCTACACAACTCACACTCGCTGAGACTGGGGAATCCTGATCAAAGAGATAATTTGCATATCTCTTTCTTTTCCTCCCCCTCCGAAAGGAGCCTGAGTCTGAACCATTCAAAAATTTGACAAAAATATTACAGATAATCCTCGACTTACAACATTAAAAAGATTTGGTAGTGAAACAAATCACCATGTTACTGCACCCAATTTTATGAACTTTAAAGTGGTAGTTCTTAAGCGAATGCCATAGTCAGAACTTCGAAACTGAGCCATCAGCTCCATTTCTGGTTCCGTCATAATTTTGGACGATTGGTAAGTGATCGGTTGTAAGTCAAGGACTTCCTGTAGTTGATTTTCATGATAAACTGAATTTAATTTAATGAACCTGCCTTGCTGCTTTTCCTGCCTTAATTGTGAAGCAAACTCCTCTGTGAAAAATTGCTGGAAATAGGCTACAGCTGGTCCTCGACTTACAACCATTTTGTTTAGTGACCATTCGAAGTTGCAAGAGCACTGGAAAAAGTGACTTATGACCGTTTTTCGCACTTAAAACCGTCACAGCCTCCTCGTGGTCACGTGATCAAAATTCAGACACTTGGCACAACTGTCTCGTATTTATGACAGTCGCAGCATCTTGGGATTCCCCCTTTGCGACTTTCTGAGAAGTAGGAAGCCAGATTCACTTAACAACCATGTAAGTAATTTAAGGATTGCAGTGACTCATTTAACAACGGTAGCAGGAAAGGGGGTGAAATGCGGCAAGACTTGCTTAACAACGGTCTGGCCTAGCAGTGGAAATTTTGGCCTCCGTTGTGGTTGTAGGTTGAGGAGTAGCTGTACTTTGTTACTAAATCCAATTTCAGTGCCATTTCAGCACATTTTTCAAATGTTAGAATTGTAATCACAGCAGTGGGTCTAACACTCCCCTTCCTGTTTCCTCATTTAAAACACCCCCTCCCCCCAAACTCACAGAAAACAAATTAAAATTTTTGCACTCACCTTTTGCAAAGACAGCCTATATATAAAACATCTTCGGTTACGTAGAAAAGGGAACAAAATAGGTTGGAAATACTTAGAAAAGGAAAATACGTTGACTTCCAGTCCCAGAGTTCCCCAGCCATTCTGGGCATGACGGTGAATTTTGGGAGTTGAAGTCTGCATGTCTTAAAGGGTCTTCCAGGTAGAAAAATTGCATAGTTGCCCAATCAGATAAGCATACATACATGCATTTTCCATACTAAATTTTAGATTTATCTGCTTGATTGTACTAGAGCAGTAGTGGCTACCCTTTTTGGGCTCCTATGCCAAAAATTGTGTGTGCGCGCATGCTCTCATACCAGCACCCAGAAGGCAATGCGCCCTCCCCTGCGCGCCCTGCACATGCATGCTCAATCCTCCACTCTACCCCGTTACCTGCATTGCACCTCTGGTTTGAGGCCTTTTTTTGGCCTCCCAAGGGCTTGAAAAAAACCCTCTGCAAGCTTTGCAGGACGAATAATAGGCTTGTTTCCTCACTTCCTGTAATACCGGGCCTATTATTCGTCCTGAAAAGCCTGAGGAGGGTTTTTTCAAGCCCTTGGGAGGCTGAGAAAGGCCTCAAACCGGCCAAAAAATCAGCTGTGAGGCGCGCGCATGCGCAGTGAGGTAAGTTTACCTGCGGCTCGCGTGCTGGCACCAATGGCTCTGCATCCCAACTGTAGCATGCATACCAGTACTAGAGAATAATTGAAGCCTTTTCAAGCTCGGGTTGGATAGATGACCTCCAAGGATCCTCTTGACTACATAGTGTTGGGGTTTCTTTGGGCTGAGGTGCTGTGTCATTTTTATGGACTGCCTAAAGTGATACTTTAGATGAGGCTCAATTCAAAATTATGGTTGAGATCAAACTTAGTCACTTTTGGATGAGGAATAATGTATAGAGGTAGTCCTTGACTTACAACAGCTCATTTAGTGATGGTTCAAAGTTACAACAGCACTGAAAAAAAGTGACTTATGACTGTTTTTCACACTTGTGACCATTGCTCAAGTCATCACTTGTGACTTTCAAGAAGAGACTGGACTGCCATTTGTCAGAAATGGTGTAGGGTCTCCTGCTTGGGCAGGGGGTTGGACTAGATGACCTACAAGGTCCCTTCCAACTCTAATTATCGCTTATCTGCTGCACTCCCAGGGTCACGTAATCAAAATTCAGATGCTTGGCAACTGACTTGTACTTATGACAGTTGCAGCCTCCCGAAGGGTTACGTGATCCCCTTTTACGACCTTCTGACAAGAAAGTCAATGGGGAAGCCCGATTCACTTAACACCCGTGTGACTCGCTTAACCACTTCAGTGATTCACTTAACCACTGAGGCCGGAAAGATCGTAAAGTGGGGCAAAACTGTCTTACTGAACAATGAATATTTTGGGCTCCACTGTGGTTGTACGCCGAGGACTATCGGTATGCGATGTTCATCTTTTCCCGGAAAACCGGCAATGGATATCGCAGATCGTGGTCATGGGACCATGGAATGTCAGCTCTGGTCGCAAAGCGGACCTGCCTGATATTCAGCCATATGACCACAAGGGGGTGGGATTGATGGGGCTATTGTTACTTCAGACGGTTGTAAAAGAACTGGCCATAAATCAAGGACTGCCTGTATCCTGTGTCCAATGAATGAGATCAGCCCATCTCGCCTTGATCAGAGGGTTGGACTAGATAACCTCCAGGAACCTTTCCAGCCTTAGGATTCAATGGTGCTTTTATTGATTTGGGGGGGGCACCCTAAAAGTGGGCCCTCACCTCTGTTTTCATAGCAAGAGAGGGAAGGAAGGAAAGAGAGTGGGAGGGAAGGAGGAAGAGAGAGAGGGAGGAAGTATTGCCTTTTTCCAGAACCACACAGTTGATTTGGTGGCTTTCTATCCAGATTTTTTAAAAAAAACAAAAAATCAGTTTTGCAGAAATTTCACATTTCAGATCTTTCTTGCAAGCTTCAGACCAAGTTGACATTCTTAGCATAGCTGCACAACAAGCCGGTGGGAGTTTTGGTATGCTGCCTGCTCCCTGCTCGGCTACACAGGCCATTAGATCCTTCCTTTCTTCCTTCCCTTCCCTCCCTCCTTCCTTCCTTCTCTCCCTCCCTCTCTTTCTTCTTTCCCTTCCGTCCTTCCTTCCTTCTCTCCCTCCCTCTCTTTCTTCCTTCTCTTCCCTCCCTTTCTTTCTTCTTTCCCTTCCCTCCTTCCTTC